GAGGTGCTCAGCACCTTGTGTGTCTTTGTTTGCCTTCCCTCTGGTGAATACACCATCAGAACTGCATCAGGCTAGACACTCATGGCCACGTCCATCTGGAAGCTGCTTTCCAGTTGTTTGTTCTACACAAAGGATGCTTGCTTACGGGGTGACTTGACAGCTTCCTGAGGAGGGTGATCACATCACTTTCCAGCTTCTCCATGCTGACCAAGCTGACTGGCCTCTCTGAGCCTCCACAGGGGACATGGACAGTTGCTGCTGTCACATGGTCAAGGGAAGGACAAATAAGGGATTGAAAGAAATGTTCTGGGTCCACGTGGGTTCTGCTTTACTCCAACCAGAGTTTCTAAGCTGCACCAATTCTCCCAGCAAGCTATTCTGTCTCCCCGGCACACTAAGGCCTCTGAGAGCCTGACTGGGCTCATGTGACCTCTTGCTCTGCCTTTCATATGTCTCCACCCACAGGACAGGACAGCTCTTGATTTTTAGCTTCTTCCTCAGATACTGGGTTCCATTCTTTTGAAAGCAGGAACTGTTCCAATGGTATTAAAGATCTCTTCTAGACCTCTCAGCTACTCCCTGCAGTAGAGATTGTTCCTGTGGTCTAGGAGGTACAGTCTGCCAGAAGTTCGGAATGCTGAACCTCAGATCACTTATCAGCATAGTGGGGCCTGTCAGGCTATCATACCTGTGGTGTCCCCTGAGAAGGGTCATTGCGGACTGTGGAGAAAGTATCAGAACAGAGTCTGCCATGATCTTAGTGCTCCTAAAAAGAGCACTGTTCTGACTTGCTCATGGCCAGAGCTGTGTTTATTCATGGAATCACTGGGTCTCAGAAATGAGTCCCTTGTCCACACTAGAGAAATGGGGTGGGGAGGACCCCATTGGATTTCTTATCTGTATTTCTTAATATTAACACAGGTCATCTCTCCTTCCCCAGTTCATCCATCCAACAACAAAAAAACAAAAAAAAACACAGAACCTTGATATGCATGAGGCCAGACTAGGGACAGAGGCTGACATGTCACTGTTAAGATAACAAAGTAGTAGTCAATTGAAAAAGGAAGCTACACAATTCCCTCCACTGACGTTTATAACAATGAGAACCCCAAAGGGAGTGCTGGCTTCGATCCCAGCACCCTGGAGGCAGAGGCAAGTACATCTCTGCAATATCAATGCTAGCCTAGTTTACACAGAGAGTTCTAAGATAGCCAGGGCTACTTAGAAAGACCTTCTCTCAAGAAAAAAAGAAAAGAAAGAAGAAAGAAAGAAAATCATCAGAAAGCCTGCTGCTCATCCTAGGAGCTGTTCCTAGAGAAGCCAGGGGCAAGGGCACAGGTGAGGCTATCCAGGCTTCTGTCTCAGGGGCACAAAGTGCCTTTATATTGAGCTGCAGGCAGGACAAGGAGCCAAGGTCAGGTATGGTACACTGAACTATGTGGCCTCAAACTCACAGAGATACCATTGGAACAGTTCCTGCTTTCAAAAGAATGGAACCCAGTATCTGAGGAAGAAGCTAAAAATCAGGAGGCTCCTAGGTTTGGGTGTCTGCAAGAATTGGAGACACTATGCCCTTGATTCTGTTGACAACAGTGATCACCAGGAATATTCTTTTTTTTTTTTTTTTTTTTTTGGTTTTTCGAGACAGGGTTTCTCTGTGTAGCTTTGCGCCTTTCCTGGAACTCGCTCTGTAGACCAGGCTGGCCTTGAACTCACAGAGATTCGCCTGCCTCTGCCTCCCGAGTGCTGGGATTAAAGGTGTGCGCCACCACCGCCCGGCCCAGAAATATTCTTAACCAAAGAGTGCTTATGTGCTCTCTGGATCAGGAGAAAGGCAGCTCAGGGAACCGTAGCCCATTTACAATCAATTTGATGAGAGAACGGAAGGAAACCTAATGGACTTAGTTCTAACGTGAGAGCTGGCAAGGAAACCTGGCCAATCATTTAGTTATCCAGCCCGGGAAGGGGTGCATTCCTTGCTCTCAATAGTGACCCCCTAACCCAGGCCCTATCCCTTGCTGCCTCTACGAAAAGAGGCTTTTCCTCAACTTGGAAACTGCAGGATGTAAAACATGGTTCTCTGGCTGTTGTCCGTGGTGGTTATGCACACCACAGGCTCCCCAAGAACACCACAGCCTCCCTGAGAACAGCCTCATTGACAGGTTTTTGAGGGTAGATGAAGTAGCCCAGCATTTCCGTGTTTACCAGCAAGGCACCACAGACATCATGGACAGAGGTCTGCATCCTCGTGACAACTGTTTTCACCATGGTCTTCTGAGTGATTTTTAAAGCAGTTATGGTGAGTGTGAGCGTGCACACACATGAAGCTCAGAGGACAGTTTTGGGGAAGTTTGTTCTCTCTACCATGTGGGTTCCAGGGAAGAACCTCAGGTGTGTAGTCATGCCAGCAAGTACCTTTACCTGCTGAGCCATCTCACCAGCCAATGCCCTCAACCATGGGATTTCATAAGCTGTGCATCAGTATGTATGTTCTCTGAGTATATCTCTGTGCTTTATTAATAAGTGTTGATTCTTTCCCCCACCGCCCCCAAAATGAATGATTGCCTTAGTGAAAGTCCATGTTCAACAGAGTCCGTGGAGGGAGCCCTGGGGGCCGGACACTGGGGTCTGGAGGACTTAAAGCCTCCGTGGAGCCTCCCCTTTGGTTGTCAACCACACTCTGGATGTCAGTGTTCTTAAATTTCTTTTCCTTCAGCCACTAGAGCTAGGATTGAACCTGGGACATTGTGCATGCCAAGGAACTGCTAGACCACTGAGTCACAGCCCAGGTCTGGAACTCCTTTCAGCTTTCACACCAATTACAGGGCAGGCTGATGAAGACAGTTGTCTGTCAATTTGTCCACCCCAAGACTGGTCCTTGAGAATGGCTGATAGAATGCTCTCCAGACTGGGAATGTAGCTGGGCAGTGGTGGCGCACGCCTTTAATCCCAGCGCTTGGCAGGCAGACAGTTTTGAGTTGCAAAAAGAAAATATGGACCCTGAGCCAGTGGGGACCTTTCAGTCCTTGAAGCTGTACTTGGTCACATAGACTAACAGCCTGCATGTTATCCAGGATTGACAGAAGGTAGACAGTGGAAGAGCCTCCAGGTGAAGCAGTAGGGTAAACTGTGGTCCTGCCTCCTCATGAGGCACTGAACATCATTTTAAAAGCCACATAGCCCAGAAAATGGGGAGATAAAGTTGGTGGAGAGAGAGAGAGAGAGAGAGAGAGAGAGAGAGAGAGAGAGAGAGAGAGAGAGAGAGAGAGAGAGAGAGAGAAGGTAATGGGAAATCCAGGCCTTGTGTTGGATGCCTTTTATCCCAGGATTCAGGAGGTAGAGACAAGCAGATTTCCAGGAGTTCTAGGTCAGCCACTTCTACATAGCAATTTCCTGGCCAGTCAAGGCTACACAGTGAGACCCTGTCTTCAAAACGACATCAAAGTGAAGAGATCTTTCTAATCCCAGTACCTTGCTTTTGCCTTCCTTAGGTCCACATGAAGAGACCAAATGAAAGTGTGTGTGACCATATGAACTACTGAGTAATATCCACTGCTGCAAGGATAGAACTGTGTCTATGACAAACTCTGCCTTTCCCTGAGGGATGCTGCCCCAGAAGGAAGAGTCAGGGTCTGAGGCCTGTGGCTCCCGAGTGAAGACCGTCCAACATCAAAAAACATCCTGAGGAAGAAGAGAGCTGATTCCTCTAAAGTCTCTTATGGTCAGAGGTCCTGGGCAGGACCTCTTAGTGACAGCAGCACATTGCTTATCTACACCCAGTCCTATAACAAATCTGGGCATTGGGCATTATACCAAGGTAACACCAGGAATGTGAGTGCCTGAACTCCACCCTAACTGAACTCTGAAGGGAGTGGGAGTATCATCTGTGGTTCAATAGCCAGCCAGGTTTGGAATGGACCAGCTTGATTTCATCTCTGGTGAAGGAAGTGGAGTGTATCTGATGGCTTCTGTCTAGCCACTTGAAGAGATCAGTAGGGGGTGGCCTTAGACCCTGACTACATTATTTGTTGAGACAGGGTCTCATGACTCTCAAGCTGTCCTCACACTGGCTTTGCAGGTTCACCTTGAACTTAAACCATCCTGTTTCCACTTCACAAGTGCTGAGATTACAGGTGGGGCCACCGGGCCAGCGAGGAGACAGCACTAGGCATCGACCCAGGACTTGCTACATGCTAGGCAGTCACTCTCCCAACTGAGGTGAGTCTCAGGTGTTGTCCTTATTTTCCCACTATCCTTTCTGTTCCCCTAAGAGGCAGAATCTCACTGTAACTCAGAGGCCTGTAACTAATCCTGCTTTGGTGTCTTTGGTGCAGAGTGGAGAGCACCACACTCAGACCAAGAGCTTTTTCTCATGGTCAATCCACTATATCAGTTTCCTCTGCTAATAGATCATCAGATCTTTCCCAGCACCATGATGGCTGCAATCTCTATCTGCTAAGGACTCCTGAAGCAATTTTCTAAAGCTAAGCACATGGCTTCCATGACTCTACCCTTAACCTGAATTCCACACCATAACCAGCCCTGCAGGTTCTTCCTGAATGTGCTTTTAAACACTTGTACTTGAGGAAGGTGATCTTTGTCTACATTCACCCTAACATGGCTTCTCAGTAATATTTAATTGCTCATATTGATGGAGAGAGAGAGACTTTGAGGAAGGAATAATGCATTCTTGGGCAATGTTTGGAAAGTATAGCTCAGGTCTCAACATGGAAAGTACTATGGGGCTTCTAATCAAGCTAAGGGAACTCTGGCATTGGAAGGAGAAGGTGCTGAATGGCTTCCCATGTATTCTAAGATTGGGTATTGGAAATAGAACCTGGGCTTCTGGTCAGTTCACGGAGAACCAATTAACAGGGTGGCAAAAGCTGTTCCCCAGGACATCAGCAGTCCCTCCTCTGGACATTCTTCTGTATCCTGGAGAGCTGATGGCATCCTCTGTGATGTCACCAGAGTTGTAGTGACACCAAGTGGCCTTAAGGCATTTCTTCAGTGCCTACAGGGTACACCATTAGATATGTTCTCCAGACTGAGGAGTCTCCTTAGGAGAGAGAATGTAGTACATCCAGAGACCAGAGAGAGGCAGAAAGAAGCTGGCATTCAGTCTCAGCGTACAATAGGATTAAGAAAATGGTTCTGTCGGAGGCAAAGTGAGTGCTGGGCAGGACATTGGGAGCTTCCTGAAGGAAGCGGCCTTGAGTTGGGTCTTCCAGTAATGGGGCAGAGGAGCTGGAGCCTCTGAGAAGCAAATGGACTTGCCAGCTTATCATAATTTCTGAAAATCCAGAATTCCATAACATTGGTTTGTCTATACCCAAAGCCTATCTTTTACTTTTATTGGGGTTTGGGGGACAGGAAGAGACCAGCAGGAGGCAGAGGGACTAATGTGTCCCCAGCTGAGGCCAGGCATCACTGCACTTCAGCTTCGGGAGTTTCCTTTAGGTGCAGTGGCTGTCGACACTAGTCACATGGAGAGACAAGTGCTTCTGGCCAAGAGATCATGTCCTCAGGCTGTCCAGCAGACTCTTCTGACCACCTCTCCCTGACAGTGGTCCCTTAGGGTCCGGAATCAGCAGTTAAGGGTGGCAGGCAGTTCTCTAGTGTAGACAAACAACTGTCAGAGGCATGGGACCAGGGCAGAGACTGGCTCCCTTGTGCCAGTTTCCAGCTCTGGGCAGTCAGTGGGGTGACTTGGTGAGTCTTTTGACCATGCTGTGTTTTTGCATGACTTTTCAGTCCACAGTCATGAGCCTGAAGTGACCAGCAGAAGATCTGAGCTCCTAACAACATTTGCCATTTTTCTCCTGGCTTCTGAAACCACAGGCAGCCTTCAGGGCTCTGAACCATATTATATCCTGTGACACTGTAAATAAGTCTGAAGAGGTGGTTTCTGTGTTCACCTGAAGAGTGTGCAGGGCCGCAGAGGAAACTCTTGACTGCTTACATAGGCACAACTCTGTAGAGTGATCTGAGAGCTGAGATCCACGGAAAGGGAATCTCATCTGGCCCAAAATATTTGGGTTGTCACTGGGTTCCAGAAACGATATTTCTGTTGGGCCTCAGGGTGGTCTGTCCATCCTCTATGCCTTGTCACTATGCAAGTTCACTTGTGTCCATCTCCCCTCAGAGACTGCAATGGAGCCATCATCCCACCCAACCCTCCTCACCAAGAAGGAGGTGAAGAAAGAAATAGAGAGGCTGACCACGAAGCTGCAGCTTGCGACAGACCAAAGGAATCAGCTGCGAGATTGTCTGCTCTTCATCACGGAAGGGACCGTAGATAATAGGTATCCATTGTTTCCGACTCCATGGAACTGTTGGTAATGTCACCCTCATCTTCTTCCTTTGAAGGTCTTGGGTTCTGGTAGGCTGTGCTTCCAGAGTGACTCTGCCCAACTTCATGTCCTAAATTCTTCTCAGAGGAGAGGCAGACCTGAAGCTTCAGAGGGAGTGAGAATGGGTTTGCGTTCTCCCAATGAAAACCAGAGCCTGTGGTCTGAGTCCCACAACTCAGTGATTGAGGCAGTAGTGTGTGAGTTCCCAGCATGCATTTGGAAAGGACCTGACAAGTGGTGGCTTGTGTGAGATACTAGCTGCTGTGAGTTTGTGGTGAGTCTTTGAACTTGTGTGGCTGGTGATTGTGTGCTGGAAACTCCTGGTAGCAGCTTGAGGGGCCTGGTCCCACATGGTCCATTCCAGTGAGTGACTGGAAGTCCTGGGGCTCATCACTGTTTCTCTCTAGTCTTGTGCCCTGTACGCTTAGACAATACTTTTCTGTGTATTCTTTTTTAGCATCTCTCTGTGTCTGTATATGACTCCTTCTTTCTCTCTCTCTCTCTCTCCTCTCTCTCTCTCTCTCTAACCCCCCCCCCTGTGTGTGTGTGTGTGTGTGTGTGTGTGCGCGCGTGCGTGCTTTCATGCATTTGCAGATTTGTGTGTCCCTACAGACTCTGGAAGCCAGGGATCTGAGGTGGGGCCTGAGGATTTGCCTGTATCAGTTTCCAGGTGATGCCAGTACTGAGGTCTGGGAGCCCTACTTTAAGCAACACCACTCTTGTCCAATGTGCTCAGCTTGGTGGCACCTAGGAATCCCTTAGGGAGTTTATATAGTCATCTCCTTATTGGGTCTCAATTCCAGAATTATATGCTCTGTCTAACTGTTCAGTAATAGTCACTGAGGACCTAGAATCACTGTTCTGAAATGGGAGCAATGGCCTTGCACTACCTGGTGTGCCAAGACCTGTGGCATAGGCTCCCGGTAACATAGAGAGCTAGACTGACCCTCCAGGCCTACTGAATGAGCTCACGCAGCCAGAGCACCCTGTATCTGAATACCCAGCCTCTGCTGACCTGGGGCCAGGATAACAAGTTTAAAAGCACCAGGAGGTACCAGTATATAGGAGCCCAAATGTGGCATCCACCGTGCGGTGGTAGACCAGGATACAACTTGAGTTCCCGTGATCTTTGAGGTCTGTGTTCATGGGGTTCTTTCCTCCTGTCTCTAGGCCCTACCACCAGCCAAATCCTTTCTATCACAAACTGAGGATGGAGCATAAACGAGTCATGAAGGAACTGAACACCTTGCAGAATGAGAACACCGAGGCTTCAAAGAAGTTCAGTGAGCAGACCAAGGAGACACTCTTCTATCGGTATGTGCCCGTCTTGACATAGACCCCGTGAGTTGTGGAATAGCCATCTCTGAGTTTCTTTTTTTCTCTAGACTGGAGAGTGCCCAACTCTGGTTTTTGCCGTTCTGCTTCTTAGTAAGCAGCCTTAGCTCTTGGACTTGTGTCTCTTGGAGTCAGTTTGGCTAAGTGTGAAAGAGACCGTTAGCCCTGGCCACCATTGTCCTGGAGTCTCAGGAGACTCTAGATAGACAAGGGATTCATACCATGAGGGGGATGTCAGGCAGCTCTGGGTGTCTGGAGCTCAGGCTCTGGCTTTACTGGACTGGATGCTGTGGAGCCTGTAGATAGAATAAACTCCCCTTGGGTCTCCTGTCCTCCCTCAGAGGGTACTTGCCCACTGCTTGCTGATGTTTCCCCATTACCTCGGAGATTAAGAATAACTGGGCGACTCCTCTTTCTATTGAAGGGAAGTAGATCCCTTTTGGTGTTGGGGTTTTCTGTGGTAGATTGATTCTTTCTGCTTTCAGCTGTCCTCATTTTGGCCTTCTGAGTACAGCTGTCACATCTGTATGGAACTCTAGGCTTTTTCTTCCTGGAAACCTGGCACCTTTTGGGCTGCTGGTTCCTGGAGGCTGGGGTGGCAGGAGGAGGCTGGCGGGGCCTTATTATGCCGTGTGTGTCTCCAGTGGTCTGCACAGCCGGCTCCTGATGGAACAAACTCAGCTGGAGAAGAAGGTGGGCATGCTGAGGCAGGAGAAAATGAAACTGCTGGAGGATTGGGTCCTGCTGAAGCACCATTCAAAGGAGTTGAAAATGATCTGTGAGGACCAAGAGGAGAAAACCAGTGACCTCAAGACCCAGCAACGACAGGTAGGTGGGTAAGGCTAAGAGTCTGGCACCATTTGCCCATTTGACTGCCTGTCTGCCCATCCACCCACTCATCACCTTACTCATCCATGCTCCCATCCAGCCACTTCTCATGCCATCCATTTCAGTGTCCATGCACAAGTACTTCTGGGAAGTCAGCCTCTTCTGAGAAACTGAATTATTGGCAAGCAATCCCCTGCTGCTCTGCTTGAAGCTGCAGTCCAGTGTAGGAGATGGGTCAATAACCTATAACACACCTACATGTCATTATTATAGGTAGGGTTCTGTGCCCAGAGCTTTGAGTGAGTGAGTTAGTTCTGCGTCCTGGGGCTCATTTGCTTGGCAAGGCTCATATGAGATCACAGGTGGGAAGTAGTTTGTAAGGAGGAGATCTCTGTGCACATGCCAAATGAGTGCTTCTCATTTCTTGGATTAGGGTGGCATGTGGCCTTCTCCTTTCTTCCTGCATCCCAATGTGTTCTCTTCAGTTTGCCCAGCTCTTGGTTCACAGGGACAGAAGCCTGAGTAGCAGGTTGTCAGCCCTGTTTTCTGTGAGTGGTGCTCACAGTTCTCCCATCCAGGAGAATATAGTCTGGGGTTCATTGGATGATCAGCTGGAGGCTTTTCACAAGATGATGGTGGAAGATGAGAGATTTGGGACTACAGGGGCAAAATTTTGTTAACCAGCTTCCTATTGTCTGACCAAAAAAATCATGTTTCCCACAGCAGTATTAGTCCCCAAGAAGTGATGGCCAAGTGGTGAGACTCTTCTTAAAGGGCTAGTATGGTTAGTGTAAACTCAAGTGCCCATCTGCCATGATGTTTCTTTCTGCTCATCCCCTCTCTATCTTCTCTCTCATTCTGTGTGCGTGCATGTGTGTGTGTGTGTGTGTGTGTGTGTGTGTGTGTGTGTGTGGTGTGTAAACATATGGGTTTTGTGGTGCCAATGTGTGCATTGGCTAGAGGACACCACTGGGTTTCTTCCCAGTCTCTACCTTGAATCAGGATTTCTTTCTTCCCTGGATGTTTACTGTTTTGCCTGCCTGGCTGACCAGCAAGCTATTGGGATCCTTTGTAACTGCTTGCTTATGTATGACTGGGTGTAACCCTCCACTAAGAACATAATCTTCGAATGAACAGGAGCTTCAAAGATTGGAGGAAAGAGTTCAGTTCTGGCTGAAGCAAAAGGATATGGTCACCCAAAAAAAGGACTTGGCAGAAAAGCTGCACCATTAATTTGAAGGCTCCCAGATGAGGTAGGAGCCCAAGCTGGGAGGAGGAGGTAGAGCCAATTAGGTCCCCTGTACTTAGGATCTCTGTCCTCTATGGGCTTCTGCTCACATGCATGATTCCCAGCTACAACCAGGGAAAGAAGACCTCAGAGAAACATGCTGGTCCAGTCATCAATAACTTCCATCCAGGAAACAATGTGTTTGGTACTCAGTAAGTCTGTAGAATTGAGTCTCCCTTCCTCCCTTCAGAACTCTCTGTTCTGAGAAGGATTTTCTTGAACTGATAAGCCTAACTCATCCTCCCAAGTGATGGGATTTAAAGGTGTGCACCACCACACCTGGTGAAAATACATTTTTATTTAGGAGCATCCCCCATGGAAAAGAGATTCCTACCTTTGAACACTGCTCTCTGCAACTTTTACCAGTTCCCTATACAAAGTGTTCTCTGGATGGAATAGGTTAAGGTCTTTGCAGGATGAAGCCAGGCTGATGCCTCAGCTGCAGGGAAGATCAAAAACCTTTTCGGATGGTTCTCTAACAGACCCCCAAAGAGCTAGGATGCACATTCCCAGCTCTGGTCCTGAGGAAATCACAAGTTTCTGTTTGGTCCCAGACAACAAGTTTCTGTTTGGTCCCAGAGCCCAGGCAGGGCCAGTGTTCTCAGGCACACATCTCAGGGAGTGCTGCTCCATGACAGGCTCTCCCTTGCATGTTTCTCATGTTCAAATGCCTCCTGGGCTTGAGGACTGAGCTAGCCTCATGGCCTTGTTCAGGTGTCCAGATGGCAAGGCTGTATTATGGCTATCAAAAAATGATGTGGTTGATCAGTAACTCATCAATAACAAGTTGTATTGTTTATATACTGTTGGCTATGGTATTAACATCCTGTTGCTATATGTTGCTACTTACAAAATAATGTCCCTGAACTGTAGAAGAATGTCCAAATCTTTCTAGTCAAAAGGACATCATACAGTGCTCAGTTTAAGTAATGACATGTGTTTAGGGATGAGAAAAGTTCTTGGCCCAGGTACCCTGTGACCCTTATTCCTTGGACGTTCAAACAATGACATCAATAAAAAGATCAACGCTGACTGTCCAGCACAGCTGAGGCGGTGGGAGGTAGTAGCTAGACAGTTGACATGGCAGGTCCCCTCCTGACCTGTGTCTTAACTGCTTTTCTCTCCCAGGTCCAGAAAGCTCCGGCTGGAACAGGCCACAGCCCAGGGTGGGAGCCCCTTGCAGAGGGAGGCTCTACAGCAAGAGACACCTGCTGAGCCCCATTCCCAGCAACCGCTGAAATCTGGGGATGAAGTTTCTTCTTCAGATTTGGTTTCCACTGTGGAATAGGCCTTGACTGTGCCTAGCCAGTGACCCCACCATGGCTACTTCTGGGTCTCGACTCTCTTTCCTTCTTGACAACACCTTTTGTGAGAACTGAGGAAGACAAAGGAAGCCACAGACAACTAGAGAGCATGGCATTCACCACCCTTGGATCTAGGCCTCCTCAGAAAATGACACCTTTTTGTAGCTGTGAACTCAGAAGGAGCAAAATCCCTTACCCTTGGGGAGAACATGGCATAGAAAGCCCCAAAGAGGAGTGGCTATACTCCTCTTGAAAATGCTGTTATAATTGGTGACTGTCTTCCTAGCATGTCTCCAAGGCCAGCCACAGGTTGTAGATCTGTGCTATTCAATCTGCAGTGAGAGAATGCTGCTTATCTTAATTTTTCTTTGATTTTTGGTTTAGGATTTTGGGTTTTTTTGTTGCTTCGGTTTGGGTTTTATTAATTTGATGTTATTTTTCATAATTTGCTAAGGCTATTTACTGTTTATATTGACTGCCCTTTTAGAGCCCCTTTTGAGAAAAAATGTAATTTTTTGAATAAAAAAAAGCTATTTTCAACTCTTCACACTTAATCTGGACTTATTTAGTCAGGTGTGCTGTTACAGACCTATAACTCCATAATTCACAGACACAATCAGATCTCTGCAATCTCCAGGCATCATGAGCTACATAGTAATAACCCAGCCAGCCAGGGTGACACAGGGGATTGGTGCCTTGCTTGTGGATAGTGTGGCTTACTCAATACATACACACTTTATGATGGAATTTGTATCCATACTGTCATGTATTTAGCTACCCCTAAGTTATGGCACTCTATAGACACAGTTTCATTAATTGGTCATAAGGACCAAAATATTGAGAAACACAACTTTATTGCTCTATAGACTCTCAAGCAATAAAAATATTCATTATGGGAAGTATAAAAGATATCAGGAAACCCAGAGTTATCTCTCTTTTTTTTCTTGCAATAGAGCATCAGTGATAACCACACAACAGAGATAAGGACCTTCCAAGTCACTTTGGGAAATAGCTTTTTAGAGAGGCTGCGACCCTTGATCTTACATTTGCCCCTCATGCATGCAGTTCCCATAGAGGCCAGAAGAGGGAGCTGGATCCCCTGTCCCAGATGGTGGTTAGGGGCCATGAGAGAGCAGTAATGCTCTTAACCTACGAGCCATCTCTCCAGCTCTGCTCTTGACTTTTGACCTCCCAGCCATGTGTGCTGTATTAATTAGACTAGATGACCCCTACCACACAGAGATGTTTCTGAAGATGTCTAGGGACAGGTACATGAAGTAAGCATGCTTATTGTATTAGGCTGCCAGGCTTCTATGCAGGGCTCTGGTGTCCCTGTTGATCTCTGTGGGTTCAGGATTGTACCCCAGCATCACTTACTGTCAGGGTTGGAGCAGATCTGTCACCTCTCATCTAGGATGACAAGGTACATTAGGCACAGCTGATGAAAGGGAGAACTGAGATGACCCTCCTTGGGCCTGGATGTGGGGTAAGGAATCTTTAATAGCAAGAAAGATCTCCAGCTAAGCAGTGTTGGGAGGAAGCTCCAGAGCAGGCTTGGTGCATGGAGCCTGCAGCAGAGGGCACGGGCTTCTGGTGGAGAGCATGCCTGTGCAAGCCTGGGACAGGACAGGGACAGGTGAACTTGCCCTTGGCCATGGCATGTCTCAGAGCATATTCAGGAAGGGTTTCTTCCAGGCGACTGTTTTATAATTGTAGAGCTCCTGGGAGCAAAATCAACTTCTGAGAGTGGAGGTGAGTCCGAGAGTTCAAGTGTGGAGGAAGTCATCCTGTGGGTCCCCAGACAGGTGCTGACCAACCCTGGCTTTTACAGGCTGAGCAGCCAGAGAAATGTGGTAGAGACTTTGGTTACTCTCTGCCATAGGTCACCTTCCCTTTCTGAGCTGACCCTGACACAGAAAGGGCCATCTATAAACACACTGAAAACAAGGCCAGCCTTGGTTTAGGCCACACTACCAAGTTACTACTATATTGAGTGTGTCTCCCTGTCCATCTTCTCAGTATCTGGAAGGAACCTGGGGCCAGCTAGGCATTACTCAACTCTGGGTACTTAACACAGTGTCTGACTGGTTTGGTAAATGCTACCATATGGTAGATTAATGTGGCTTCTTCTATTACCATTTGTGTAGGTAGATACTAGTTCATATCACCTTTTTCCAGGTAAACTGTCCTTAGTGCCCCCTCCTTCACTCTCCCAGATATCTAAACATCCAAGTTAGAATGTGTGTTTATTTGTTTTGTTTTTCATTTTCCCCGAAAGAAGGTTTCTCTGTGTAACAGTCCTGGCTATCCTGGATGGAACTCTCTTTGTAGCCCAGGCTGGCCTGGAACTCAGAGGCCACCCCTGAAGAACGGCGAAGTGGAGGGCTTCAACAAACAACATGCCCTGTCCCCACCCTTCAGGCCCATCTTCCATCTAGAGGAATGTTCCACAACCATGCCAGGTGAGGCAGTGAGGGCCTCTGTGAGGTGATCTTCTTGAGAACGGGCCTTTTCCATCATGGGCTGGTCATATATCTGACAGCTATGACTTCTGTGATATTCCAAACCCACTGAGATGCTTGGCCACTTTCTAGAATTGGTATTCCTCTCTTATCTTTGAAGTCCTACCATGGGTTGATGTTACCATGGCAACCCAGAGGGGTACTGCACTTATTGGTACAATTGTTTCCAAGTCTGGGACATACCATCCACAGACACAGTGGGGTACACAGTCTAATCTCAGACCCATGAAGAAGCCAGATTCCAAAGAACCATGGCCATCTTTCCTGTCTCTAATTCCCTTCACACTTCTGCTGTTCTCTGAAGCAGACAGTGATTATAGGAATGCCAACAAGTAAAGCAAGTGAAGCCATGGTTTGGACTCAGAAAGGTTGCATCAGCATCCAGGTCTGACGGGTGACGGGAGCTGGCCAGGAGGAGGTGCTGGAAAGAGATTCTCTGAAGGGGAAGCATTCGCCTGTGCAAAGGCAGACTTCTGTCCCCAAGAAAAGCTTCGCTCCGCCTTAAGCTTCCTCCTAGCCTCGTTTCTCTGGCCCATTCGTTAATATCATACAGCCCAGACTGGGATCCATTTAATTCTGTGTCCAGTGCAGGCCTGACAACAAGCCAGAATTACTAATGCAATGAATAAAATCCATGTAATAAACACCAGATCCTGCTACGTCCTTCAACATTAGCATGTCTCAGTGGACTCAATTTCCCTGTCTATGAACCGGGGATCGTTATGGGATGGCTGTGGGCAAGAGTTCCCAAATCGAGATGGGGAACTTTTTTCTTTTCTTTTGGTTTGTAACCCACCCCTTCCTTTTATGGAATAGAAGCCAGAAGGACTGGTACAGTGGAAACCAGCAACCTTCCGGTTCCCGTTGATGGCATTTAGCCACTTTGCATTATCTCTTCCTTCTCTTGGTCTGTATACCTGTCTGCATATCGTTGTTACTGAATCACTTGAAAGGAAACCTCAGCAGAACACTTGATATCACTTTTGAAATCGAGGCCACATTAAGACAAGGACATGGGGCTGGAGAGATGGCTCAGAGCTTGAGTCTTTGCTACTGTTACAGAGGACTGGAGGAGTTCAGTTTCCAGCCCCAACACGGTGGCTGGTAACTGGCTGTAATTCCCAGCCCAATGGTTCTAGCACCCTCTTCTGGCCTCTGTAGGCAATAGGCACCCATGAGGTGCACATACATACATGTAGGCTAAATATGCATACACATAAAATAAAAATACCAAATATTTTTAAATGTCATTAAAAATAAAATAAAAACAAGGACAGTCCCCTATATACCACAATAACTACTATCACATTGAATATAACAAATTACCAGGTGTGAAGGCACATTTTGCCTTTAACTCCAGCAATGGGGAGGCAGAGGCCTAGAGATTACTGTGAGCTCCAAGCCAGGCATAGCCACATAGTGAGACTCACCCTCCAAAAGGGGGCTGGGGGACGGAGGGAGAAAAGAAAAGAAAGAAAGCTGTGAGCATGGTCGTGCATGCCTTTAATCCCAGCACTTGGGAGGCAGAGGCAGGCGGATCCAGCCTGGTCTAGGTAGTGAGTTCCAAGCCAGCCAGAGCTACAAAGTGAGACCCTGTCTGAAACAAACAAAAACTTAAAAGTTATTCAACCTTCAGAACAATCTGAACCCATACCCAGTTTGAAGCAGATGCAGACACTAGTGACACCTATCGGGAAGGGTGATACAAGCGCAGCCACTAGCCAGCCACAGGAGGCAGATGCAACAGCGAGCTGGGACTGGGGACGGGGTCAGGGGAGGGAGAGTGGCCAGTGAGCTGAGACTACAGAGAACCAGAACCAGTGCTGTGTGCACACAGTGCCCTGTGACCATCTGTCTGCAGCTATGGCTTGAACACCAAATTCCGATTCCTAACCTCCTCACATCCTTTTGTTGATGTTTAGTGGTTGGTTACTGTTGATGGCGTTTTGTCGTTGTTGTTTGAGATGGAGTCTCTGGTATCCACAGCTGGGAATGACCTTGCCTCTTGCCTCTACCTCCCACTGCTGGAGTAACAGATGTGCACCACCAGTCTGCAAATAGGCCAACCCTCTACCAACCGAGTAAATCTCCAGCCGCAATAGCCTTGTTTGTGACAAGGTTTCGGGTAGCCTAGGCTATGTATTAAAGCCTTGGTATGTGTTAAAAGATGACCTTGCCTCCCCGCCTGCTATGTGCTGGAACCACGGGTCTGAGACCCCTCTCCCGCCCTTTCACGCCTATTTCCCTACCATTATTCAAAGTTTTCACGCTGCATTTTGGCTGTTTTGTCTCTTACTGTTAGAGGGCCCTACAGGGGGAAATGGGTAACGGAGTCTGAATCTGAGAACTACACGCCCTCCTCCTCCGGAATGGTGTAGTGTAAATGATCTCCGCTCTGACTAGCCTTGAGAAACCAGACATCTGGAGCATGAGCAGTCCCAGGGGAAGTTGGTAGCCGGAAGCTCTCGCCCCGCGGTGCCACATGGCCCCGCCCCCTCGCAACGGGCCCAGCGTCCCTCCCTAGAGACAGGAAGGGTCCGACAACTTTGCTGTTTAGGGAAGCCGGTAGGTCCGTGAGGCGGCGGGATGATTGGGTCGGGGGAAATTCAGAGGCGCACAAGTGAGTGGACACCGAGGGGGCACCCTTGCCTGCTTAAGATCACCATTCCCTCCCAAGTGTGTGGGTCACCTCACCTCTGCGGGGTCGGGGCTTGGGGAGCAGGGCATAGGGGAAGGCACCTTAAGCAGCCTTGCTGGTAAGTCCTGTACTTAGCACACCGTTTGGGGTGCGGACCCTAACCTTTGCAGGGAGTGTGACTCGATGCCCTCCTCCCTAGAGCAGGCTCCCTGCAAGGAAGGAGCCTCACCAGACCCCATTCTCTCTCCTTATCTGACCACAGAGTTGTTACAGAGATGACTCTGTAGCTTCCTTTATAAACCCCAATCAGTTTTTTCGTTGCTTCACACTATAATTCAGCAAGTGCGTTCTGGGGACCTACTGCGTGCCAAGCCAGTGACCGTCCCA